TGGAGCGAGTGCGGATGATCAACGTGCAGCGCCTGCTGCAGGCAGCGGAGTTTTTGGAGCGCCGGGAGCGAGGTAACGGCCGGGAGCCGCCGCCTCCGCCTGAGCCCGCGCTCTCCTAGTCCGCGACAGGAGTGTGGTGGGTGAGGGAGGGCGCGCGTGTGAGGGAAGGTGCGCGCGTGAGGGGACATGCATGTGCGGGAGGTGTGCGCGCCTGAGGGGAGGGCTGTGCGCGCGAGAGGAGGGGCGTGTGCGTATGAGGTGCGCGCGAGGTGCGCGCAGGTGAGGGGCGGTGCATGTGTGTGAGGTGCGCGCGTGTGAGGTGCGCGCGTGTGAGGTGCACATGTGAACGGGGCTGCGCGCGCATGAGGGGGTGCAGGCGCGTCAGGGGGCGTGCACGCGCGAGGGGAGCTGCGCGCGTGCGAGGGGAGGTGCGCGTGAGTTTGTAAATGAAGGTGTGAGAGGACGCACAGGTGTGAGTGCAGGTGAGGGTGTGTAGGGAGGAGTGGGGAGGAGACCTGGGTGGAGGAGAGATGGAGAGTCCGCAGGGGCCAGCCAGAGGATGGTTGGAGCTGGGAGAGAGAAGGCGAGAGGACCTGCGGGGGGAGAGGGGGGTTGAGAGATGAAAGCGTAAAAAGAGGAAGGAACTGAAGGGGGCGGTGGGAGCTGAGTGGGTCTCGGAGGAAGAGGCCAGAGGTGGGGGTGGGAAAGCCGAGGCTTGCTGACCAGCGGGCAGAGGGCGGCAGAGGACAGCAGTCAGGGAAGGAGCCTCTGGGGCTCTGTGGTGTGATGACATGGGATATCTCTTGACGACCACCAAAGGAGCTGTCAAGAGATGGGGTAGGAAGAGCAAGCACTCGAGAATTATGGTGCAAGAGAGAACGTGTGCTTCCAAGACTGGGTGACTGCATTATTTGAAGTACAAGACAAGGTAGGGCTTAGAGAGACACACTCTAGAATGGAGAGTGGAAGGAAAAGGGGAATTTTGAGGCTGGTGAAATCATTGAGGTAATGGTAACTGGTCTCAGGAATTAGGATGTTTATGTCAAAAAAAGAATTCTTGGAGAAAAGGATTTTGGAAAGGAGGGAGAATTTATTTGGCTTAGAGGAGGTATCAGGACACCTTCAAGGCATGGGCTGGTTCTGTATGTCACAAAATTGATACCCAGGCAGGGATTGGGATTTTCCAGCAGAAAGGGTGGAAACAGTTTACCTCTTCCTGCTTTCAGAAACCTGTTCCTGCAAGGACCTTGGATTTGTGAATCAATGGGTTTGGGTATTTGTATTATTTTTCTCTTATCTTTTTTTTCTTGGTCTCTTTAGAGTGTGAACATGGCTACGCCTCATCGTTCCCCTCCATGCCAAGCCCCCGGCTGCAGCATTCAAAGCCCCCACGGAGGTTGAGCCGGGCACAGAAACACAGCAGCGGAAGCAGCAACACCAGCACTGCCAACAGGTAGCAAGTTGGGGAAGTTTAGAAAGGGAAGGAACACAAACTCAGGCAGAGGTGCCAGACCCACTGACCTGCGTTTCTTCTCTAATGCCAACTCTGCAGCAACACAAGATGGGTTCCTTGACTACCGTCCTGGGGATTTGGCCCTTTTAAAATAAAGTCTAAGACTCATAATCTGGCCCTGTGTGAAAGAAAAGGGATAGGGTCTAGAAAGACAACCATACAAGTTCTTGCTGAGATTATTAAGATGGTGACTTTCAATGTGTGAGGTCAACACATTGAAAGCCTTGGCAGCATGTGTCCATGCAATGCAACCACATGCTAAATGTAATCTTGGGCCAACTTTTATTCTGCCTAAGTTTGGGATAGTTCAAGCATTTTTAAAAATCAGAATAGCTCTGACAGGGTATAAAGCAGAATCAGGAGTTTCATTAAAGGAATAAAAATATTTAGGGAGAGTTGGTAGTTATGGGCATGGTTATTTGTTGTTTAAGGAGGCAAGGAAGGACTGTGCTGTGGAAGTTTTGCCTCTTTTTTTTTTTTTTTTGAGTTGGAGTCTCACTCTGTCACCCAGA